TGAACTCAGCTTCACGATTTTCACCAGCAGTAAATTAAGTATTCCAATGCTTTTGAATTCGAATTAATTCCAAGAACCATACTGTATTTGCAATTTTCCTCGAATCTCAAAAAACTGCAACCTTCAGCGGACTGCGGATTTGACAGGCGGCCAAAAAGCCACTGCAGTCGTTGAGCTGATGCAAACTGCGCACAGTTGTAGTGATTTCCCTTGATCATTGCGGCAACTAGCAAATAAAGATACGTAGAGATTTCTTCCCACATCAGCTGCAATGATTTTACGATGAAGTCTAGCTTAATTAATGGGGTAAAGCGAAGGGGACAAAGGAAGGAAAGGAAGAGTTTCGTATGCGTGATGGTAATTCAAAAGTGGCATCTTTGAATTTGGAAAAAATCCTAATTTAACGTAAAATCCTAATTTGACTGGGAAATTAAACCTCATATCTTCGAAAATATAAAAAATTCGGGATGGCACTAAAAAAAGAGACAATTTGACCCCGTGGTGAAAAATTTCGGCACAAAATTCAGCTCATCAAAAAAGAAGGGCATAATTTAGACAAGGAGTTATTTTGGACAAAAGAGTAAATCTGAGAAATGTCCTCCCTCTTCTGACTTCAATTAACTGAAAAATTCAACACTTCCTTCGTATTTTACTTTCGGTCAAGAATCGAGGAAGTCGGAGCTGGTCACACTGATAACTATTGTTAAACGCAACCAACGAGTGGCAAAAGCTATCCCGTGTTGTCTCGCCCCTTCCCCCGTTCTCTTGGGCTTTCCGCAACTCAGTGGTAGTCCGAGAAGTTGGGGCGATTATTCTTTCTCACATAGATCCAGTAATACAAAAAATTTCAACCCGTCAAATTGAGTGAAGTGTCAAGGCGTCAAAATATGCAACCTGTGTATCTTCAGCGAGGAGACCAGCAAAATCCGGCAGTGCTTCCATTTGTGAGAATTTATCGATGGTGTCAAGGATCATATTAAGGACACCCTCTTCCTGGAACAAGTCCTGACGGCTTCTCAGCGCACGCAAGCAATTCTGTCTTGTTTCGAAATCTAAATAAAAAAAATACACTCAATTCAAACATTTATCAAAGTGCACTTGTTTTTCTCATCATCTTATTTGATGTATAGCTCGGCGTACGGAAGCATCCTAGTAACATTACTAACCAGGGATACCCATACCGATTGCCTGAGCGTGTTGATCATTTCATTTGTGCCTATGCTTCAAGCAAAGAGCTCAGTTTCTTATTTTAATATACTAGACCCAAAAATGCAACTTTAATGTAATTCAACAGTGCACGTACAAACACCAAAGTCTGAGAACTTCAACGGATTTCGCAGCTATCGGCTCCAGAATTTCGCACGCAATCTTCTCTCCCCTCAATCCGCCTTTCGAAGTCGCAGTTTTCTTCCAGTTCGCCGTACCCCAGAGCCCCATCTTTTAGGAATAACTGCTTTTCCTACCCCAGAAGTCCTTACTCCTTCTCCCTCCTTGTGATCCCTTTTTGCATATTTTTTATATACACGCAAAGGAACAAAATGAAACACACCGGAATAAATTTTATCTATTACTTTTCACGTCAAACACGAAAAGTTTTAGATATTTCTGGCAAAAAACTCGCTAAATTAACTCCTTACTGCATCGCTTAGCCTAAGTTTTGTGCTAATTTCTGCTAATTTTTGAGCCACTTTTGTTAATTTTTGTGAGTCGACTCAATTCTTGAATCCC